ACAGAAGAGGTATTCGTGGACCATGACAGGTCATCAGTGATATGCACTCCCAGAAACTTGGTGCTTTTCACTGTCTCCACACTGTTTCCATGTATAGTAAGTGGCCGGTGTGGGATGTGCTTTCTTCTGAAGTCGACAACAATCTCCTTTGTCTTGTTGACATTCAGCGCCAGGTTGTTTTTACCACACCAGGAAATGAGTTGATCAACTTCCTCTCTGTATGCGGAGTCGTCGTCATTTCTGATGAGGCCCACTACTGTTGTGTCATCTGTGAATTTTATGATGTGATTCGAGTTGTGATTGGCACAGCAGTCGTGAGTCAACAGGGTGAACAGTAGGGGACTTAGAACACAGCCCTGGGGAACTCCAGTGTTCATGATGATAATCTCAGAGGTGTTATTTCCAAGACGTACTGTCTGGGGTCTGTTCGTGAGAAAGTCTAACAACCAGTTCCATAGAGAGGTGCTGATGCCTAGTGACTCCAGTTTTTTTACCAGGTGCTGTGGGATGACCGTATTGAAGGCGGAGCTGAAATCAATAAAAAGCATCCTCACATGACTGTTCGTGTTTTCCAGATGAGCCAAAATCAGATGGAGTGCAGTTGCTATGGCATCATCAGTGGAGCGATTTGGGCGGTATGCAAATTGAAGTTGATCAAACGTGGCAGGCAGACTGGATGAGATGTGGTTTTTGACTAACCCTTCGAAGCACTTCATCATGATTGGTGTAAGTGCTATTGGGCGATAGTCGTTCAGTGATGATGTCGGTGATTTCTTTTGCAGCGGAACAATGTTCATGGCTTTGAAGCACTGAGGAACGAAGGCTTGTCTTAGGGAGATGTTGTAGATGTCAGTGAGAACAACTGCAAGTTGGTCAGCACAACCTCTAAGTGCACACCCTGGTATGTTGTCGGGACCCGCGGCTTTCCGGGGATTGACCCTGCTCAGGGTCCTCCGAACTTCACTGTGGTCGAGACATAGTATTGCATCGTCCATAGTGAGAGTGGCTTTTTTTGCCGTTGTGTTGTTGTTTTCCTCAAACCGGCTAAAATGTGTGTTAAGTGCGTTGAGGAAGTCTGTGTTATCATGACAGGGAGGTGGGGAGGTTTTGTAGTCTGTAACTGCCTGAATGCCTTTCCATAGGCGCTTGGAATCTTTTGAATCAGTGAAGTGACTCTGAATTTTATGTTCATAAGCACGTTTTGCTGCTCTCACGCCACGGTTCAAGTTAGCTCTAGCTGACCTAAGAGCGTCTCTGTCCCCGGATTTGAAGGCTGTATTTCGTGCTCTCAGGAGGGCATGCACCTCCCTGGTAAGCCACGGTTTCTGGTTGGCACGTGTGGTGATGTTCCTAGTCACTGTCACATCTTCCACACACTTGGATATGAATCCTGTCACAGACTCTGCATACTCCTCCAGGTTGATGTGCTGGTTAGTTGTGGCAGCCTCTCTGAACACATTCCAGTCCGTGCATTCAAAACAGTCCTGGAGTGCTGAAAGAGCTCCCTCTGGCCAGGATTGTATCTGCTTTGTAGATGGTTTGCTCCTAGTTAGCAGCGGTCTGTAAGCAGGAATTAACATGACAGAGAGATGGTCCGAGTTCCCAAGGTGGGGGTGGGGAGTTGCCTTGAATGCCTGTTTGATGTTTGTGTAAACCCGGTCCAATGTATTTACTCCCCGGGTAGCAAAATCAACATGCTGATAAAAATGTGGCAGAACTGTCTTTAGGTTAGCTTGATTAAAGTCACCAGCAATTATATAAGCACAGTCTGGGTTAGCAGTTTGCATTGTACTAACAGACTGATATAATGTGGGTAGTGCTGCCTTCGTGTTTGCACTGGGGGGGGGATATACTCAGCTGTAATGCTAACA